TCACACTTTCCCAACATCACGGTCTTTTCCACGGAATCTTCTCTTCTCATGAGATGGCCAAATTATTGGAGCCTCAGTTTCAGGATCTGTCCTTCCAGTGAGCACTTAGGATTGATTTCCTTCAGAATTGATAGGTTTGTTCTTGCAGTCTAGGGGACTCTCAAGAGTCTCCTTCAGTACCACAAATTGCTGTTCTACGTCGAGTTAGTTCTGAAAAGACATTTCTCTGACTCCGTAGCTCCAACAGCTTCCCAGTGATTACATGGAAGCCTTATAACCTTTTGAGGAGAAATAGAAAATCGTTAATTTTTATAAAATTGTAATAGCTGCCGGGTGGATTTAATTTAAATCACAATTTTAATTTTTAAAATTGGATTTTTTTACAACTTAAATAAAAACAATCACTTTTAAAATCTAAATTGTGATTTAAATCAGTAATTGTTTTAAATTACTGATTTTTATCGATCCCGGCAGCTGCTGATATCATCAGCCTTATAGGTTAGGCTATACCTCATGGCAGTGGTTCATAACCTTGAGTAACCCAGGTGTTCTTGAACTGCAACAAGAAACTTGGGCCAGCACAGGATAGTGGTGAAGGCTTTTGGGAGTTGCAGTCCGACAACACCTGGGTTATGAAGGGTTGGGAGCTACTTCTTTATGGCAACAGGACATCATCCATTGGCTCATAATATAGAATCAGAATATATACAGTGGTGCCTCGAATAGCGATGTTAATGCATTCCGCAAAAAACATTGCAATTTGATTTCATCGCTATTCAAAATGCGGTTTCCCATTGAAATGCATTGAAAGCTGGCTAATCCGTTCCAATAGGAACGAATTGCCGCCGCTGTTCAGAAATCTCCATCGGAAACATCGCTAATCAAAACCCAGTTCCCCCATTGAAATGCATTGAAACCTATTCAATGCATCTCAATGGGCAAAAAAATCAACAATAAATTAACGAAGAGTCAGAACAAAGCCAGCCAGCGAGGGAGCGAGGAAGGAGGACGAAGCCAGCCAGCCAGCCCAGAAGGAGCGTCGCGCCCGCCCGCCCTCCTGTCCCTGCCTGCCGGGG